AAAAAAAAAAATGCACTACTGTCTGCTGAGCGCTTTTCTGATCCTGCATCTGGTCACGGTCGCGCTCAGCCTGTCTACCTGCAGCACACTCGATATGGACCAGTTTATGCGCAAGAGGATCGAGGCGATCCGCGGGCAGATCCTGAGCAAGCTGAAGCTCACCAGCCCTCCTGAAGACTACCCTGAGCCCGAGGAGGTCCCCCCGGAGGTGATTTCCATCTACAACAGCACTAGGGACTTGCTCCAGGAGAAAGCGAGCCGAAGGGCGGCCGCCTGCGAGCGCGAGAGAAGCGACGAGGAGTACTACGCCAAGGAGGTTTACAAAATAGACATGCCGTCCTTCTTCCCCTCCGAAAGTAAGTACTGTTTCTCGCTTCCCCAAGGCTTAACGCTGGCCCGGAGCTCTCAGAACCGCAGCAGCTCTGGGAATCGCCCTTCCCTCTCTGGGTCCGGGTTTGCTCTTTTCCGGTTCTGTCCTTCGTCCCATTCACCTCCCATCCAGTCGTGTGCTGGAGACCCTCACTGTCTGCCGTGTTTTTTTCTCCACCTCTCCCTTCCCCCAACGCCTCGGTCCTTTTTAAGGAGTTATTCTCCTTTGCTCTTCCCTGACATCCTCAATTCGGCCACCAGTTAGGAAGCAACCTTCTTCTGTCAAACTGTTGGCGTTCCCCGGAGCAGGAGTTAAACTCAGAGGATCTTAGTAGCTTGTTTTCTTTGCCCCATTGGCGTGGAGCACGAAGGGTTAAAAAAAAGTGGCTCCAAACTAGCCTCTCCGGAAGGCGCCCCCTTTCCGAGCCGACCTATCAGCTGGTTCCCCGGAGCCACCTCTATTGTCTCTCACTCCCCTAAAAATGTCAGCATCGCCAAAACAAAACCCGATTTGGAGACTCCTCGAAAAACCTTTCAGTACTTGATGTATCTATTGCAAGCTCTAGGTGTTTACATTCCCCCTAGGCAAACCCTTGTAATCACGTCCCCTTTTGACTTCACCTGGAGCGGTAGAAAGAACAGCTTCGTTTCTGACGTTTTTTAAGAAGGTTTTACTCCACTTTGTTTTTTCAGAATTCACCAACCATGCCTTCTTAAAATCGCTGGGTAGCAGGTCATTTTTCTTAGGGGTCTATCGTTGATCATTTTAAACCTTGAGCTCTGTACTCCTGCCCTTTCATAAGTTTTCTGCAGTGCCTTTGGTGCATTCCTAAATCTAAGACAGCTAATTTTAAAACAATAATAATGTTTATTATTATTATTATTATGTTTCCCTGAAAGCAGTGTCCTCAAAACTGGCTGGCACACACACAGTAGCACTGAGAGTGAAATGATTTATTGTGGAGTTCTTTGGGGAGGAGAGTAGTATAGAATTATCTCAGATTTCTTTAAAGAAAGAGCAACAGCAGCAGCAGCAGCAGCCAGTGATACCTGAAAGGGTTAAATACCAGGAAAAACTAGAAGAAAAAAGTGAAATACACTTCAGCATTTGAGTATTCCAAATCCTAAGTCATAAACTTTTCATTGGTTGCCCATTTCTCTCCTCCCCTTTCCATGCCCTATATACTTGCTGGCTGCCTTTGGGAAGTCTCCGGGTCTTGCCTAAATAGATAATACAGCCATCTTGGTAATTTTATCACCGAAATTGTAATTACTGGGTGGTGCTTTTCTTTTTTAATATTTATTTTTATTTTGACAAGTCTCAACGATGTGACTTGCCATGTCTTGTATTAATGGCCTTGGAATGTCTGCCCATATGTCTAACCCCAGTCTTTCTGGACACCTTTCTTTTGCTGCAGTTGTCTTCTCTTGTTATTCAATGGCAGAAAGAGATACAGGGAATCCTGGCAAGCAGGATAATTTTATTATCGTAATTATGGCACTGTCCACAACATCAGTGACAAAATACACTCCACCCTGGTTATTCCCCTTGGGAAGCAAAACTCTCTATCTGGGATGGAGCCAAGGAGATATTAGGAAAGAAAGTTCATTGTACTTAGTCCAAAACCATTGAGACTGAACAAAGAGTTGAGTCAGTTTGCTCTCTCTAGCACATGCACTGGTTCTACTGGTATTTGGGGAGACAAGCAAATGTTATGTAGGACCTGGATAACTCATCCTTCAGTGTGTACATGCAAAAGCTCAAATGAACTGCCATGTGTTACAACACTGAGAGGTCTGATCTCACCATTCTATGGATGTGGAAAGAGCAAGTTATCCAAGAAGGCATTCATTCTGAGTTCTCTCAAGCATTCTTAAGTCTGAGAGATGAAGATGAGCTGAGACAGTCCAATCCAGGATCATGGTCATCAACAGATTGGAAAAATTCCTGGATTATTAGGAGGATTTCAGAATATGGCATCTAAGACCAGTGTGTGGGTTCTCCTTTCCATTCTGCCCTCAGCTTCCAGACAAATTAAAACCTCTGATGAGATCAGGATAAAAAATAGACTATCGGTGTTCAATAAACAAATACAGGCTGTAAAAAGCCTGTGGACTGTATGGAAGTTTAGGAGCAGAAAACCATATTAATAGCAGAGTTGTTACTACTGTGCAAGAACTGTGGATCATTTTATAGAAAGTAGGTTAACTGATTTTCCAGCACTTTCTAGTTATTCTGGAATACAGTGAACTCTTCCAAAAAAAAAAAAGCAAGAAAAGAAAAAAAATTACTCCACCATATTTTTTAAAAGCAAGTTAAAAGTACAGCGTTGGCTTTTATACCAACTTTCCCTCTTACAGACTTTTCTGCCTAGCTTTTAACTCGCCTGTCACTGAATTGCTGCAGGGAGGGTGTGCGCCTGTCATTTCTTGCAGTGGATCCGGTGAGGGTCACAAGTCTCAGAGATGAAGGCATGGGAAAGATCACTGGTTCATTTTTTTACCACCGACTTATTAGTGTTCAGGGAGTGACTTCAGCTCAAGTATTACAAATATGCTCTAATTATACTCAATGAGCTATATATCACTACAGATTGCTGATAGCCCTTTGTGGGACATTTTATGAAGTTCAGACTAAATATTTTTAGCAATGTGGAGATTTAAAAGTAAAAATATAAGAGATATTGTATATGCCCTCAGGCATATTTTGTCTTAAATATTATCCTTGGCTAAGTGTACTATATAAATACAGTAAATATGAATAGAACTGGTCAGGTGCCAAGCTCCTAGTATGAATTTTAGTCAAGAATGTATTTATGGGATATAAATAATACTGTGTCAACATTTAAAGAAGGGGTCTGATTAGTTTTGAATTTATTCATATTGATCTTTTCACATGCTGTTAGTTTAAGACTCAAAGTGGAGTTAGGCTAAGGTTTACTGATGGTTTGCCCAGTGGGAATTAAGTGAACTTTGAATAGTTTGACAATCCATTTGAAGTCAATTCAAAAGACACTGCACCAGGTTTTAGAAATTTAGAGAGTGTTGAATCAAAGTAGCATCTGTCTACAGGCTTGGACATTCAGAAAGAAAAAAAGAAAGGAAGAGACAGGTTTTCAGTTTCTTTCTCTCTTCTATTTTCATTGTAACAAATCAAGTAATGTTCCAACTATGGAAACCCTCACCTTCCCACCCCCACCATCTCTGCAGGGACAGTTGGCAATGTCTGAAGACATTTTTTGGTTGTCATGACTAGGGGTGGAGTAGTACTACTGGTATTCATTGGGTAGAAGCCAAGGATGTTTCTAACCTTCCTATAAAGCACAGGACTGCTCCTCCTTCCTCCATATATCAAGAATTATCTGGCCCCAAATTTCAGTATTGCCCATGGTTAGGAGCTCTGGAACCCTGGTATTTATCTTGGCCCACTGAATTCTGTTAGTAGTACCATTTTAGAAGTAATAACAAAAGTAAAAGATCTTTGTGACCAAATAATATTAAAATCAAAGCATTGAATATGACAATCAGAAAGTTATCTAATTAAATAGAATATTAATTAGACCATTTTGTATGGTGTATACTTGAATATTGTGATCTTAACATCACCTACATTAGGGACATTGACATTTTCCTTTTATTTAGTTAAGAAATGGTGTTGACCCTTCCATGAGTAGCCTCACTCAGCAACAGTATGATGTTAGTCAGAACACAGCAAAAAAAGAAGTGAGGAATTACCTTGGATTTTCCTTTCAAGTAAAATAAGCTGTTTTGTGTTAATGAAGAGTGGAATCGCCAACCTAGGGAACTGGAGAAAATAATCATTTTTGTTTATTCTATCATACTAATTTAGATAAACTAAAATATTCAGATTAAAAAAAATCACAATGAGGTTACCTTTGTAATTGTTTCACACAAATGCTAAACATTTAATACCAAGCATTCTGTTTTTCTATTTTCCTGTAATTTTCCTAGTGAAATTTTGGAATATAAAATGAATACCAATGACACTGGTTTTGGGGAATGTGACTTAGTCTTCTCTTCATGAATATGTCTCTCTCTATACAAATGGCTGGTCTGTTGGCCAACTGCCCAATGAAGGAAAATGTTAGCAATTGCTGGAATACAGTAGCATATTTGGTTTATGTAGTATTTTTGTTTTATTTTTTTAAAGGTTTTCTCATTGTGTTTGTGTGTGTGTGTGTGTGTGTGTGTGTGAGAGAGAGAGAGAGAGAGAGAGAGAGAGCTATAGAGAGAGAGAGATGAGATCAAAGAACAGACATGAACTCTTTGACTTCCAGAAAGATTTATTTATGTGCAACAGACCAAACTTTAATTCCTTCTCTTTTATTGCATCATTGCTTGTACTAACTCTGGTACCTAATTGTGGTTACATTTAAGTTAGGCCCCATTCTCCTCTTTCAGGATTTCCTCTTTTTTAACTTTTCAGACTAGAAAAAAAAAAGTCCTCAGTTTTTAACCGAAACAGTTAGATAGTTTTTGTTGCCAACGTAGGCCAGCTGGCCTTATGCTTCTCCTGAGGAGACCCTGCTGGATAGAGGCTGGTCTTCAGAGAAGCTTGAGGGGTGTCCCAGGACCACCTGACCTCTTAGAAGGAACCCTAGGGTCCTCTCTGTCTCCACAGCGACCCCTGTGGACTACCCAAGGAGCTGCACTTTTTGAATTACAGTTTCTCCCTGGTGAAAAGACGATGATGTAACCTAGTCACAGCATCTTCCATATAAAGATATGAAAGAATGACAGATCATTTTTCCTAGAGGAAACGGGAATGTGAGAAAAAGCCTAATGACTCACTGTTGAACCCACATCAAATCTGGGTTAGAACTGAGGAGTTCATTGACTCCTAGGCCTTTGCCCAGAGATTACAACACACTTCAGGCTGCAATTTTATAAGGTTCCGGAAGATAGACTGGAGGAGCCTACCTCTGGGAGAGGTGTGCAGGTCACCACTTGGGTGCGACTCCGGCCT